AGATGATAAACTGTATGATGGCCTTGTTTGGTTTGTTACTCAAAAAAAATTTTAGAAAAAATTCTCTACAAACAAATTTTCAATAGTAATCAAACCAAACAAATTTTTCTAAAAAAAATCTGAAAATTTTGTTTGGTTACCTACTTTCCAAAATCACTCTCTCTCATACACATCAAATCACTCTCTCTCATACACATCAAATCAATCACTTTTTTAAAACTCTCTCCCCAAAATAATTTTCCAAAATCATTTCTAAAAAATGCAAACCAAACAAGTTTCGTACTTTTTATCTCAAAAACTATTCTACAAACACAAACCAAACATGTCTTAAAAGCCCAAAAACTAAAAAAATTGACTTTTAACCTAGTTGACAAAAAAAAGTCTATGTCATGTGTCAGTAAATCAGGAAAGTAAGTGTCATTTTTGAAATTTTAAATGAGGTTTTTGTAATTATGAAATTTTTTAAGAGAAATTAATATAATTTATTTCTTTTAAAATTAACGACTTTATTTGTTAAATTGGTCTGGACAAGAGGGTGTTAAAATTAAAAAAAAAAAATAGAATCTAAAAATTTTAAAGAAAAAAAAAGAAAGAAAGAGAAAAATAATCTATTTTTTTCGCATAAAATTTGACTTGGGTTTATTTTGACAACTCATTGTTTCAGCTAAAAATGTCACCACAAAAAAACTAAAGATTGTGTTTGGTTATATTTTCAAATCAATTTTTGAAATGAAAAATTCAAAAAACTTGTTTGGTTTATAATTTTTGGAAATTGTTTTCTTTCTCTTCTTTCATTCTCTCACATTCTACACACCAATCAATTAATTTTTTTTCTCTCCTCCCTTCTTCTCTCATATCTTACACATTAATTAATTAATTTTTTCCTTACACTCATCTATTTAACTATAAAAAAAAAAATTACAAATCATCCCCAAATTATTTTCAAAATATACAACTACACAAGTTTTTAAATTGGGCAAATTACCTACACCCCTTTGAGGTTTAGCTAAATTACTAATTCTCCCGTGAGATTTCAGAAATTACATCCTGCCCCCGAGGATTATATTCGCAAAACAATTTAACCCTACCATAAACTAAATGTTAAGAATGGTTATATAAGCATGCTGACATCACCAAAATATATATTGATGGATAATATTGCCTCTCGTATCTTTCTAAAGCATCAAGCAACTTGATTGAACCTGAAATCTCTTTGATAAGTCAACAAAATTTATTAAAGAATTATGTTCGGTGGGGAAAAAAAAAATTAAGTTTTTGGAACCATGATTGGTTTGTTGTTTAGAAAAAAAAATTCAGATTTTTTTTTTTTTTTGAAAAAATGAAAACTAATTTAAGAAAAATAAATATGTACAAATATATTTAATTTGTAAAAATTATTTCTAACTAATCAAAAGATAAAATTATATAAAATTGATAATTATTTTTTATTTCTTATTTCTTAACCAAATTAATTTTTAATTTTTTAAAAAAAATTCTAAAATAAATTTCTAAAAATCAAACCAAACATGGCATATAAATCTTTTGATAAGCCATTTCTTGCGTCTGTAACTTATTTAATTATTTGTTAATTTTATGATATTTTCACCATCTAATAAGTGTTTTTTCATTTTAATTTTGCATTTCATAACTTATTCAATTAATTAATTTTGTATTTACAACTAATTCAGTTAATTTGTTATTCTTTGAATTTTTTTTGGGTGAATTGTCATTTTTTGGGTAATAAATAAGTACCATAGAATCCTTTTCAACATGGAATGAATGAAGAGAGAGCACTCAAGTAGCTTGAATTTAAATATTAACTTAGAAAATTTCAATACATTATCTTTTTTTTTTTATATTCAATTGATTTTTTGCACAAATTTTATACTTTTTAAATATATCTAAATTAAATTAATCTAATCTAGATATAATGGTAGAAATAAAAATGAAAAATTATATTCATATATAAAAATTTATACAAAAAATATCATAAAAATATTGTGATAGTGATATTGCTGTAAATATATAAATCATGTTTATGAATATTTTGTTTTAAGGTGAAAGGTCAGTGAAAGGTCACCATTAAATTATATCATTGTGTTTGAAAATTCTATATAAAATTTGTATATCATCACTTAATAACAATATATTCAGATAGAATTTAATGATAGAAAGTTATAGAATGTAATTATTATGATAGGAAAAAAAAAAGCAAGATGGTCATTTAAAAAAAATTAGGGTATGACATCAACAATTTATGGGATAATTTGTAATGAGATTACAAACCTGAGGGAGGAGAATGTAATTTTTCAAATGTGAGGGGGGATCTGTATTAAACAGAAACCTCAGGGGGTGTTAGTGTAATTTATCTAAGGGCATTTTAGTCAATTTATTAACTCCATTAACGGCGTTAATTCTTGTAGGGCGAGATGTAATTTCTAAAACCTTAAGGGATCTGTAATTTAGCTAAACTTAAAGGGATATAAGTAATTTGCCCTTTAAATTTGGCAAAGTCTTTTCAAAAAATTATCTTCCAAATTTACTTCTTAAAATTAAATCAAATGGAACATAACTATTCTCCCTATTTTTTTTTATATACATTTTCGTAAAAAGTAAAAAAAAAAATACTAAAAATTATGAAAAATTATTTGATAATCTTGGACATATCATGTAATGTCCCAACATGTATTTTATTAATTAAAACAATGAAGCTTAATATTTTTTTGTTGATATTTTAAAATACTCTACAATATAAAATACTATTTTAAGACTAATAAGTAAATAATTTTGTTTCAAAATCTTGGCACGATACTGACAAGGGACACTGATTTGGAGTGATTTCGATCTGTCATAGTACTTCAAGACTGACGTCTGGTTTGACATGTTCTATAAAAATAAAAAATTAAAAAATTATCACTATTCACAAAAAAAAAAAATATAAAAAAACAAATTTACACAGCATTTTAATATACAAGTAAACTTTCTATGATATGACAATGGTACAGTCTGTGATGTCAGCTAAAAAAAAAAAAAGTCTGAAGTGATGGCACAAATTACATATGCGGTGCACCAAAAATTTACACAAGATAGCCGTGGGGGCCCATCACAGGTCCCGTTTTGATAATCTAAACCGTAATGTATAAAACTTGTCGAGTGCTATATACTTGTAAAAAATCACGTTGATCGGATATCGATAACTATATGATTAAATTAGTTTTGTATAAGAAACATGGACTGTAAACAATTCCGATCAGATAGCTATCGCTATCCGATCAACATGATTTTTTACAAGCATATAATACTCGATGAGTTCTACATATTAAACGGTTTCAATTATCAAAACAAGACCTGTGGTGAGCCCCCACAAGCCGAACAATCGGACTGGAGACAAGCTGTTCCTATACATCTTGCTACCCATCGTACTGTCTTCATGGTACAATCACTGTCAATACGCATTTATATATTTAGGGGTAATATGATAATTTTGTTATTTTATACAATATTTTAATACACATTTTTTCGTAAAAAGTCAAAAAATTATCCCAAACAACCATATTTTTTTCCTCTACTTTTTTATCTAAAAAGTCAAAAAATGCACTTATTTAGTTTATCCCAAACGACCCCTAAGTAAACAATGGCTTCCCTCTAATCCTTCATCGGATTGAAGAGTGTTGTTGGGTTTGTAGGTAGGGATGGAACCAGGATTTCATTACCGGAGGGGTCAAAAGAAAATAATTTTTTTTCACCATATAAACAAAACACACATGTATGTATATATGATATATAAATTATATATATATATATATATATATAAATTGTAACACTACAAGAATTTTCACTTTTGGCGACTAAATTTTTAGTCGCCAAAAGTCATCTTTTAGTCGCCTATAGTCTTTAGCGACTAAATTTTTTGGTCAAAAAATTAGTAATCAAAGAGTAGTCGGGAAATCTAATTGCCAACAAAAGCTAATTTAGTCGCCAAATGTATTCATTTGCCAACTAAATATTTAGTCGCCAATAGGTTGGAAAATTAATTAAATAATACATTTTTGTCGACCAACATTTTTGTCCCCAAAAGCCAATTATTTAGTCGCCGAAAAATTTTTAGCTACTAAATTTTTTAGCCGCCTAAAGCAAATAATAGTGTTTTAGCTACCAAAATTTTAATCGCCTAAAGTCGATCTTTTTTAGCTACTAAAATTTTAGTCGCCAAATACTATTTGTTTTGGATACTAAAAATTTAAACTTTTCACATTTTTTGCTACTAAAAATTTAGTCGCCTAAACTCCGACATTTTTGGCTACTAAATTTTTAGTCGTCAAAAGTAATTTTATTCTTCAACTTTTGATTTTAACTACAAAATATTTTAATCGCCAAATGTTTGATTTTCTTTTAATTACAAAACTTTTAATAACCAAAGGTTTGATTTTCTTTTGACTACAAAACATTTAATAACCAAAAGTTTGATTTTCTTTTGGCTACAAAACATTTAATAGCCAAATGGTTGTTTTTCTTTTGCCTATAAAAAATTTAGTAGCCAAATGTTTGATTTTCTTTTGGTTACAAAACTTATAGTAGCCAAATGTTTGTTTTTTTTTTTTTTCCCCTTTTAATTGGCTACAAAATGTTTTGTCGGCAAAAACATGATATTATGCATGTGTTTGGCAAGTAGGTTTGCAGATTTTTTTGGCTATTTTAGTCACAAAAAACAAAATAGGCTATTTTAGCCATAACAAACAAAACATCACATACAACCCAGAATCATTACATTCTTCTCTCACAAAAAAACTCAAAAAAGTCAAAAAGCCCTTCCCAAACCAAGCTTTTAAGCCCAAGCTAAAATAGTAAAAAAAACCAAAAAGCCAAAAAGCCAACCCACTCCCCAAACGGAGGCTATGTTTTATTGCAAATATTATAATGTGTCCATAACCTGTCTGTATTCCCTGCAACCTGTAATACGTATATAAATAAAATGATACATAAACTATCAATTATACCACAATATGCATCCGCATACAAAAAATAAATTACTTTAACTGTCCAAGTACAAACAAAAACTATTGTCCAAACTAAAATAATAATTCTCTACAACATATAGAATCATACAAAAAGTAAAGCCCTCCATATACAAAAATTACATTTACTATACCATGTGAAATGACCATTTGACATGGTACAAATTACCATCGTAATCTGTACCACGACAAAAGCTGATGTATGTACCAAGTCAAAAATACATCTATGTACCACGACAAAAAATCATATATCTGTACGGCGTCAAAAGGTGATCTATCTACCATGCCAATAATTATCTGTTCGCTGTCAAAAGTTTTATGTATCAGGAATAGTTAATTGCACAAAAATCGGAGACCACAAAAGTATTAGATTACTTCTATACAAAAGTACAATTTCTTCTCCATACACCAAAATAACTCTGCAAGTCTACGCAACGAAGTCATCTACAAAAAACAAAAAAAAAAAAAATTAGAATTAGACCCAAAAATGCCCAACTTCATGAATGAATTTGGAAACAAGTGACAAATAAAAATAAGTGTGAAGAAACTTTCCATAATGAATCAATTATCAATCATTGTACGGTCTTTCTAAAGTCTTTTGTTATAAGGAACATTGTTAAATGCCGAACAATCATTACTAAGTCTTTCATTAGTAACATAAAGCTAATGTAACCGTCTTCTATTTGTACGCAACATGTATCCAAATTCTGTGGCTAAACCAATATCAAAGCCCAATGTGAATAGAAAGTATTCTTTTTACCAACTTCCTCATTATTTGTTTGCAAAAAGCACTTGAATCATTAAATTGGATAGAAAACCATCGATACTTATTAATGTATGTCAGTGCCATTTCAGAAAGGATATTAGAACATGTGATAAAAATAATAACACATGTGTGTACGTTCAAAAAATTAGAAAGTTTAAAACAAGGTGTAAACTGAGTTCATATTGGTTTCTGAATATTTTTCCCATAATTTTCCATTACTATACATCTCCAATACATTTTGTCAATTGTCACAAGTCCTATTTGTAATGGGGAAGCTATCCGTGAGAGTCAGTCTGAGGTTCAGGGGCTGTTTTGAAGTTTCGCCCCTAAAACACCCTTTGTCGACTAAGTTTTCAGCGTATTCGACTCTAAATCCCTACTTACGAGTCCGAATAACATTCCATCAATTGTCACAAGTCATATTTGGCATGGGAAAACTGTTCGTTTCGGCCACACAGCGGTTCAATGGCTGTTTTGAAGTTTCGCCCCCGAAACGCCCTTTTTCGACTAAGTTTTGGGCGTATTCGTCTCTAAATCCCAACCTATGGATCCGAATAACATTCTGTCAGTTGTCACAAGTCATATTTGGCATGGGGAAACTGTTCGTTTCAGCCACACGGAGGTTCGGGGGCTGTTTTGAATTTTCGCCCCCGAAACGCCATTTTTTGACTAAATTTTGGCATATTCGTCTCTAAATTCCAACCTACGGGTCTGAATAACATTCCGTCAGTTGTCACAAATAATATTTGGCGTGGGGAAGTTGTTCGTGTCGGCCACACAGCGGTTCCGGAGCTGTTTTGAATTTTTGCCAACGAAACGCCCTTTTTCGATTAAGTTTTGGGCGTATTCAGCTCTAAATCCCAACCTATAGGTCCGAATAACATTCCGTCAGTTGTCACAAGTCCTATTTGGCATGGGGAAGCTGCTCGTGTCGGCCACACAGAGGTTCGGGGGCGGTTTTGAATTTTTGCCTCCGAAATGACCTTTTTCGACTAAATTTTGGGCGTATTCATCTCTAAATCCCAACCTACGGGTCCGAATATCATTCTGTTAGTTGTCACAAGTCATATTTGGCTTGGGGAAACTGTACGTTTTGGCCACACGGAGGTTCGGGGGCTGTTTTGAATTTTCGCCCCCAAAATGCCCTTTCTCGACATTTAGTTTTGGCGCATTCGTCTCTAAATCCAAACCTACGGGTCCGAATAACATTCCATCAGTTGTCTCAAGTCATATTTGGCATGGGGAAGCTGTTTGTGTAGGCCACACGGAGGTTCGGGGGCTGTTTTGAATTTTTGCCCCCGAAACGCCCTTTTTCAACTAAATTTTTGGCGTATTCGTCTCTAAATTCCAACCTACGTGTCCGAATAACATTCCGTCAGTTGCCACAAGTCATATTTGGCAGGGGGAAACTATTCGTTTTGGCCACACAGAGGTTCGGGGGCTGTTTTGAATTTTCACCCCCGAAACGCCCTTTTTTGACTAAATTTTGGCGTATTTGTCTCTACATCCCAACCTACGGGTCCGAATTACATTCCGTCAGTTGTCACAAGTCATATTTAGCATGGGAAAACAGCCCGTGAGAGTAAGACGGAGGTTCGGGGGCTGTTTTGAAGTTTCGCCCCTGAAACGCCGTTTTCCGACTAACTTTTGGGCGTATTCGACTCTAAATCCCAACCTATAGGTCCGAATAATATTCCGTCAGTTGTCACACGTCCTATTTGGCATGGGGAAGCTGCCTATGTTGGCCACACGGAGGTTCGGGGCCTGTTTTGAATTTTTGCTCCCGAAACGCCCTTTTTCGACTAAGTTTTGGACGTATTCATCTCTAAATCCCAACCTACAGGTTTGAATAACATTCCGTCAGTTGTCACAAGTCATATTTGGTATGAAGAAACTGTTCGTTTCAGCCACACGGAGGTTCGGGGACTGTTTTGAATTTTCGCCCCCGAAACGCCAGTTAAAAAGCTGTTAGTTGTTGAGTTTGTATCAACCATGGTTAGGATAAAAGACTCTGTTGTATATATATATTAGGAACTCTACTGTATCAAGTCAATGAATTCAATAATACAAAATCTCTTTAAGCCATACCATTTACTATCAAAATTACATCTTATACCAAATCTGATTAACAAGAAATCCCAATTAACACAGCCATAAACTTTTTCAAATTCAACTTTTAAATCATCCATTTGTTTGATCTACTACCTCATTAGTTGTAAGAATTCTCTCAAATATTTGTCTTTCACCAACAAAATCTTGTAAACACAATCTACCATTCTTATAGGCAATTCCTTAAACTTTGAACAATAATATTATAATCATCCTATTTTCTTTTACAATATTTATTGACACTACAATAAAAAACAAAATTCATAATGGAATAATTAAAGCAATGCAGTTACGACAAATTATATAATAAACAAAATATGATGCAATGAAAGGGCTTCTACTTTTGGAATTTAATAATGCAGCAATGAAGGCAGAATTGAAGCCTATTGGAGTAAAATTCAGCGATGAACTTAGCAAATATTCATTTACTATATTCCAAGCACTTTTCATAAAAACAGCAGGCAAACCAATTAGGGTTTTGAGCAACAGTATTGGGGATAATAATAAAAAATTAAAAATTAAAATTAAAAAAAAAACCCTTGTGAATCATTCTACGCGATCATTCTACTTTACCAATATAGTTGAAGAAGCTGGGAAGTATTAATAAATTAAAAATTAAAATTTAAAAAAAAAAATTCAGACTTGATGGACTGTTGCAAATCATTGATTACCATAGTTTGAGGAACGCCAGAACAAAAGCGTACACAAGGAGAACAGCAGCAGCAGCCGGAAAGATTATCCAGGAGACAGGGAGAAACATAGTTGTGATCTCCAAGAACCAAATTGCTATTAATAGTGAACCAGCATAATCAATATAGGGCGCGAAACGTGGGGCGACAAGGCGCAAGATCGCTGTAAAGAGCACGATCAAACCAATCGCCTCCATGGCAACCTCATGACTTTCTTTGTTCCTCATGTTAGTGAATTGTGGCGTTAGACAAAGTGTCAAGAGCTTTCAGTAATGGAGATGAGATGTGAACCGGAGGGATCTAGGGTAACATGCGGTGTGCCCTTGTGAAAAAAACCAACAATCTGTTAAAACAACAATCCAAATCAGAACAACAATCACCACACAATCAGAACACCAATTCCCAATCAAAACAACAATCAGACCATATAATACAACAATCAGAGTGACATTCTTTAAATAAATCAGATTATTTTTAAAAACAGATCAGATTATTTTTAAAACAACAATTAGAACACCAATACCCAAACACATATCAGATTATTTTTAAAACAACAATCAGAACACCAATTCCCAATCAGAACAACAATCAGACCATCATATAATACAACAATCAGAGTGACATTCTTTAAAATAAACAGATCAATAATTAATAAAAAATAAACACAGTTCATATAAAATGAAAGATTATTTTTATAAACAGATATGCAGATCAATAATAATAAACAGATATGCAGATCAAAAAATAAACACAGTTTGAATAATAAACAGATTTGAGAATGTAAACAGATATGCTTCATTTCTTCTTCTGTTTTCAAATTCATAATAAAATTCGCACTTTTTGACACACACACACACACACACACATATATATATATACAATAAATAAATTTAGAAAAAAAAAAAAAGAGGTTGAAGAAACAGTAATGAAATCCCTAGATCGCAAATGTATACACTCAGATATATATATATATATATGTAAACCCTAGATCGAAATCCCAAGAGAGAGAGATACCTAAACAGAGAGAGCAGCGAGGGAGGAGCGGCGGTGAGGGAGGATCGGGGGTGAGGGAGGAGCGGCGTTGAGGGAGCAGAGAGAGCAGCAGCCCCGTCGTGTGTGAGTGAGAGAGAGGGAGGTGAAACCCTAAACAGCAGCGGCGGTGAGAGAGGATCGGTGGTGAGGGAGGATCGCCGGTGAGGGAGGAGAGGCGGTGAGAGGAAGAGAGAGGGGGAGACCAAACCCTAAACAACACAGCGGTGACGGATATGAGAGAGGGAGAGGAGTAGCGCCGTGTGCGTGGGTGAGTGTGAGAGACAGTCGAGTGTGTCAAACCCTAACAAACACACGCATATATATACCCAGGGACATAATGGTAATTTCACCTCGGGGCTAAATGGAGCGAGGCCGGGGCCTGTTGCTTGGACATGTATTCTTGTCTCCGGTCCGAATATCATCAAGGATTAAATTTTGAATACCATCATCGGCCCGTCAGGAGTATTTTTCGAAGAATAACTGCTCAATTCAGGGTCAGGGATCAGATCCCCGTCAGGTTAGGTTCAAATTGTTATCCGTATGAAGTCCTCATTTGGCAAGCGAGTTGGATTTAGTTTTTGACTAAAAAAGCACAAAAAGAAAAAATTGACTAAATAAGTCAATAAGATAAAATGTCACATTCAAACTATAATCATTTCACTTTTTCTTTTACAAAAAAATTAAAAAAATCAAAAAAATAATAATAAAAAAATTCTTTCCAAATAAAACTAATTTAGCCAAATTAAATTAACCAAAACATTAAAAAGTCAAGTTAAAAAAGTTCTTCCCAAACGACTCATAATGAAAAATGACAAGGTAAAACTAGTATTCAACCCAAATTCACTTTATTTTGTTTTGATTAATTTTTTTAAAATTAAATTTTTTATTTTTTATATATTTTTATTTTTAATAATGTTTTTAATATTTTAAGTAATTTTTTTTTATTTTTTAGATGTACAAAATTTAAATACATTTAAAAAGTAAAAATATTGGTAAAAAAATATTTTAAAAATTTAATAAATACACAAAATATGAAAATATAATGATTCTTTGTATTTTTTTGTTTTTGATGAACGTTATAGAGATTTTTCTATAAATATCATACTTTATAAGCATATTTAGGTTAAGTACATTTAAAAAAAAAAAATTGTTAAAATATCAACGTTCTATTTGGTTTGCCTTTGGAATCATGATTCCAAAGACAAAATTTTTCAGATCGTTTTTCAAAATTCTTAACCAAATACATAATTTAAAATTACTCAAAACTGAATTCAAAAATTAATTTCAAAACTCATACCCAAACACACAACAGATAACTCAAAATTCAAAACTCTTAACTTTTTGATGATAGTGTTGAAGATGGTAATCCCTATCATGCTGCGCAGATGGAATTAAGGGGCAATTAAGAGGGTAATTTATGTGAAAATTGGGCCGAGCTGGATAATGGGCCGTTATGGGCCGCAGTGCAAAAGGGCCAACTAAAATGGCCATGTAAGTTACTCCGGTCATGTGGATATTTTCAAGATAGTCCGGTCCTAAGGCCGTAAAGATAGCCCGGTCCGACGGAAGACCGAACTAAGATCGGTCTAACGGTACTATGGAGTTAGATCGGTCCCAGAGTTACACCGATTTTTGCATGTTAGTTCGGTCTAACTATACCATGAGTAGTGCACGAGGAGCCGAAGTAAGAAAATAGTATATGGAAGAGCCGAATTGAAGGTAGTTCGGCCCATTCTGTGGCTAAGCAAAGTCGTGTTTACTTCGGTCGTGTGGGAGTTCGGCCATGGTAAAACCATCTCACTTGGTTTAAGCAGTGAGGGGGGTGTTGAAGGATAAGCATTATCTTTCAGGAGTATAAATCCTAGAAGGACTCTGCATGGAGGAGTAAGAATCCTATTAGGATTATGCCACATGAAACCTATAAAGCTCACAAACATCACCTATGGAGGGGTAACACAATTTTGCTTCCTGAATACACAGAGCTTTTGTCAACTTGTCTGTTGTGCTGACTTAGGCATCGGAGAGGTTTCCGGCACACACCCGCCGGTTAGCTCACGTGTGTATTTTCAGGTGGTAGAACGACATCGTACAGAGGAGCGCAGACTTGGTCAACAGGATTATACGAGAAGGTAAATTTCTTTCTCGTACAATTGGCGCCGTCTGTGGGATGTTCAAACGAGAACAAAACCTCTTGATCAAGCTTTTCCTCTTCGACATCAATGGCGCATAATGAAGATTTGCCACAGTCCGCCATTAACGGACAAACTCCAAACGGGGGTGCAAGGCGTGAAGGACTATCCTCTATCCCTCCCATGGCAGACTTGGAGCCACACAGACAGAATCCCAGGAGGGATACAAGGGGAAGAAGGCGGACTAACAGCCCCCACCACTCTCATTCACAAAGCCCAGAAAGATAGAGGCGAAGGGTTGATCCCCAGACTTTGGAGGATCGCGTCAAAGAACAAGATGAGTTGATAAGGAAGATGGCGGCGGACATGGAAGCCTTGAAACGCCAGATGAAAGGAAAAGAAGTGGCGACAGGAGAGGGGCACAAAGGCAAGACGCCCCCTCGCCACTCGAAAAATCGTAGTAGGAATACCACACCCTCACAAGGAGAAAGCAGAAGTCTCAGGACAGGCGACACTCAATCTAGGTCTTCCAGAACTCGTCACTCTAGGTCTGAGAGGACGAGATCTGAGAGATCGTACACTGAGGGAAGCACGTATTGGCCCTCACATACGCACCAAACTAGATCCAGACAGACGGAGTTGCCCAGATCATCCGACTTACGAACCGTGCTCGAGGAAAAAGCACGATGCAAGGAGGATGCCAGAGCACGTGATCCACACAGAGTTTCTGCCTTACAGCGGTTGGCTCCTCGGACGCATGGGAGCATCGAGGTTGGAATGCCAATACCGCGCATTGCCTACGAACCAACGGACATGGCACTAGCGAGGCTGCAGATCTCGCCTTTTGTTTCGGCAATTGAAAACGGGCCGCTACCATCAGGCTTCGTTCAGCCCAAATTTACTACGTATGAAGGAAAGACGGACCCTTACTCGCACTTGAGCCACTTTCGCCAAGTCATGGCGATATACCGACGGAACGAGGCCTTAATGTGTATCCTCTTCCCATCTAGCCTGGGTGACCTAGGCCTGACTTGGTTCGAAAAACTTCCAGAAGGCAGCATAGCCTCCTGGGCGCAGTTGGCAGAGGCATTCGTAACAAGGTTCCGAACAAACACTAAAACCCTGGTGGAGATCGACCAGCTACTCTCCATCGACATGGGTGAAAAAGAGACCCTAAGATCCTACAACAGCCGCTATTGGGAGACCTTCAACCAGATTGGGGACTGTCCCACCAATCTCGCCATTGCACAATACAAGAGAGGCCTTCCAGTAGGAAACAGACTAAGGGACTCAATCACCATGACACCACCCCTCACCATGGAAACCTTGATGGAAAGAGTGCATTAGCACATTAGGGTAGAAGAGGATGGCGCACGTGCCAAAATAAAATCTGGCACAACCACAGTACCAGAAAAGAAGACCTCAGCAAAGGTCAATGCAGTAGATCGGCATCGGCCGAACAGAAACGGACGTGGCAGACGAGATAACGGAGAAGACCCGGACAAAAGATGGTTGAGAATCCGCACTGCCATAACCACGGTCTTTAAGAAACTGATATACCGGATTCTAAGCGAAATAAGAGATGAGCCTTTCGTCAAATGGCCAGCTAAGCTGGGAGAAGCACAGAAAGACTACGACGAAAGATCACGGTGCACCTTCCACAAAAAAAAGGGGCACCGCACTGAGAATTGCACACCATTGAGACAGCACCTGGAGGAGTTGGTAGCAGCAGGACACTTGGATAAATACATTAAAGGAGGGACGCAACCAGCCCCCCAGGACCATGATAACCCCAACGGGATGCCAATCGACGCCCCACCTCAAGGCATCATCAATGTGATACATGGAATCTTTGAACCAGAGCGTGTATGCGAACTCAGGGGATCAATCAAAAAGGCTGAGCACTTTAGAGAGGTCCTAAGTGCCCAACCTGCCATCAAGAAGGGGAAGACAGAAGCCGCAAACGTCATGTCCTTTTCAGATAAAGACTTGGAACGGATATATTGCCCTCACAATGATGCCCTGGTCGTCACTCTTCGAGTCAAGGATTTTGACGTCAAGTGGATTCTGATTGACTAGGGTAGTTCATGTGAAATCATGTACTACGAAACATTTAAACAGTTGAAGCTACAGGACAAAGACTTGGCGCCTGCCGTATCTCCCCTAATTGGCTTCAACTCCATGCCAGAATGGCCCGTCGGCAAAATAATTCTTCCAGTCAGAGCAGGAAGCGTGACGAAATAAGTGGAGTTCTGGGTATTAAAGGTTCCCTCCACTTATAACATCATCTTGGGCAGAACATGGCTGCATGCCATGCGATCGGTGGCATCATCTTACCACCAGGTAATGAGGTTCCCCAACGACACCGGCGTAATTGAAGAAGTCTATGGAGATCAGATCATGTCGAAACAGTGCTTCGTTACAGCAAACGGCAGCCGCGCTGCCAAAGGATATGTTCATTCAGTGGAAGAACCAGAGAGTAATGAGCCATTTGCAGATGTCGGAAAAGAAGCTGATCAAAAAGCGGTGGAAGACTTGGTAAAGGTTCATATAGATGAAAAGAATCCAGATAAGTTCTTTTTGCTCGGTTCGTCGTTATCCTGCACTGAGAGATTAGAGGTCTTGGAATTTTTGACCTCTAACATCGAAGTGTTTGCCTGGACGCCATACGACATGCCAGGCATTGATCCCAATTTCATCTGTCACCAACTCAATGTTCACCCATCAGCCAGACTAGTCATTCAGCGCACACGCAGATCGGCACTCCATCACGCCGAAATAGTGGCGGAGGAAGTGGGAAATCTGCTGGAGGCAGGAGCAATCAGAGAAGTGTACTACCCAAGATGGATCTCCAACACAGTTGTAGTGCCAAAGAAGAATGGCAAATGGCATGTCTGCGTCGACTACAAAACAGTCAACAAGGTGTGCCCAAAAGACAGCTTTCCTCTACCACGGATAGATTAACTGGTCGACCTAACGGCGGGGCACAATCGACTTAGCTTTCTGGATGCATACAGAGGCTATCACCAAATCGCCATGCATGAACCAGACCAGGAGGTCACATCCTTTACAACTCCAAGAGGACTATACTGTTACAAGGTCATGCCCTTTGGCCTAAAGAACGCAGGGGCGACATTCCAACGAATGGTCACCAAGATGTTTGAA